ACGCGGATTCAACCAGATAAGATATTCTAGTTGGAACTGTCTGCCTGCCATTTGTGCTGGTAAAATTGAGTCAAACCGCTCTCGATCTTGCAGACAGTGGCTTTGCTGGCGATGACCTCGTGGTGACCTCATCCAGTCTCACAGCTTTAAGTTGGCGTGACACTGTGGGACGGGGTCCTGCTCGTATCTCCGTTCTGTTTCGCCTGCTGTTTTTCAATGATGACCACATGAGAGATTGGAGGAGATTGAGAATTTGCTCCCCACGAGACATACAAGTCAGGCTGAAAGTTGGAAGGGGATTGTCACAGCTGTCAGAGTGATTGTGATTGTGTGTTCCTTCCAACAAAATGTGCCTTTACTAAAAAAAATTATAATAAATAAAAAATTGGATGCTTGAAAATCTCTGAATATCATGGCATTGGTTCATGGCCATAACTGCTTTGGAAACCGGGGTAGAAGTTTGTGGAATACTGTACATTTAACTAGCATAGTTAGTTTTGGTAAGGTTGTAAATTAATTGCACTTGCACTTAGAAATAGTAGCATTAGTAGTAGTATTAGTATTAGATTGGGAATCAGTATTGGCAGATGGGGTCCAGAGCACAAATATATATATATATTACTTAGATTATTTTAATTTATTTTAATTTATTATTGAGTATTTCATATTATTGAGTTATTTTCAGTAGTCATGATACTGGTTTTAAATAAGCAATCTTGGTGTGCTCTCAAAAGCTTAAAAAAAAACCTTTCTAACTTCAAATTTTTAATGTTAGTGACTGCAGTCAAATCAATACATAATTTTCATAAGGACATAAGAAAAAAAATCAATATATATAGATCTTTTTTATAACACATTTTCAGGAAAAGCTTGTAGATCTACCACTCATCAGAATTAAAAGCCTTACATTTTCCCTCCACATGCACGGATATCACCTCAAACTGAGAAAAACAGAACCTTTTCCTGGAGGTACTTCTCACCCGGCTTCAGTTCAAAGTGATTATTCCCGCATCTCGAGTCTTTAATCAGCATGTCATCCGTCAGAATCCTGATTAGCCGGGAGATCTCCATAGGACAGGCCTCTGCGCTTAAACTTGTACCTGAACCCCCTGCCTTAGAGTAAATTGATATTTGACTGCGGAGGATGAGCTCACGAGCAGTAATTAACACTCTGTAAAGACCGACAGCCTCTTCGCATGTGTGTTGGGCTCTGACTGGAGGCTTTTGCATGACCTCAGTGTTCATAGAGGAAATGATGTCAGCCCATATGGCTCTGTTTCTCAGTCACATTGTGCATTAGGAGGCATTTGGGAAATAGTAGGTCTCTTTGGTGTTGTGTTGATAACCTTTGACATTCCCTGAGGAATGAGAGCAGTGATGTCAGACTTGCATCGATTGCTTGAAACATCTGTTTATTTCTGTCTTTGTGCCTTTTTATGTTACTAATACTTATCTTTTCATTTAGTCATCTTGTTTTTACCAAGGAAGCTATTATAACAGGTTGCTGTTCTGCTGACTGTGAGGCTTTTTTGGTGTGCTTTATTTAAAAATGTAGAGTGTGTACACTGTAAAATAAAATGATGCTTACATTTTTTTGTTGAATTAAATGCCTTTTTTCTAGTCATCTCAACTTACATCAGTAAAGCTGACTAAAACTATTAAGTTAACCTTTATATAACTTTTAAAAATGCAGCAAAATAGCTGAATATCTTATTAAAATAAGCCTAAAACATTTGTCACATACTTTTTTACAGTTTATTTCTGTTTATTTGTCTATGTGTTTGTGTATTTATGTATTTAACGATGCATTTTGTTTTATTAGAGATGCAAAGAAAGCCTATTAACTGCAAGCATACAGTTGAGGACAAATTATAAGAAATGTTATTTTTTTTATTTTATTTTTTTTATTATTTCTGATTTATATACATGTCAAAACTAATCTATATGAGTACTGTGAACTTACTCCATTTAAGTTGAAGTAATGGGGTATTTTAATAACTCATTACCTTCAATACCGAGTTAAACTCTTTTCAAAAACGTAGAATTAACTTTCAGTCAATTTTGAGTTAACTATACTCATTTCATTTGATAAAGGTGACTGTTGGGTTTTACAGTGTATATAGATAGTGCAAAATATAAATATAGTATATATATTCAAATATAAATAGTGTTGTTTAACAAAGAGAAGAGCTGAGTTTTAGTTAATTTCCAAGTTAATTCATCTTAAAGGGCAACTTAAAGACTTAGCTACATAGGTTAACTAGGCAAGTTAGGTTAATTAGGCATGCCACTTGACAACAGTAACTTGTTCTACAGTCAATCAAAAACTAATGTTTTAAGGGGGCTGATAATATTGACCTTCCTCAAGAAACATTATTTTAGCCTTCCAGAAGAAAGATAATAATATTAATAATATTTTTTATTTAAAATAATAATAATAATATTAATAATAATACTGTTAAAAAAAACATTTTAATATCACTTTGGAGATATTTAAAAAAAATTACAAGTTCACAGTGGGGCTAATAATTTTCTCTTCAACTGTATATAATATATATATTGGATACATTTAAGAATAACCTGCAGTACATTTATTTTAAAAACTTGTAAATCAAGCAAGAAATATTTACATTATTGCTTAAATTTTTTTTGGAAAAAGTCTTTTTTTTTTTTGTTGTTGTTTGACCGGAATAAGAAGTTTTTGCATTTTTTCAAAACAATTTTAAGTGTAATAATATTTGCCTTCTTAATAATTATACATTTGTTATATATGATAAAATTTGTTTGTTTTTTTTCTATCGTCCAATCACTTGCCTAATTAACATTTCTTGCCTAGTTACCCCAATTTAACTAGTTAAGTTTCAGAATTGCACTTTAAGCTGAATACATTAGTAGTTTGCTAAATGACGAGTGAATTAGGATTCACTGTCATCATGGCTGAGTCAAAATATAAAATACATGTTTATAATAATAAATACATGTTTAAAATGTTATGATAATATTAAATGTCATGTTTAAAAATGTGTTTAAAAAATTGCCTCCAATAAACAACACTTTATAAAATATCTAAAAAAAATTACTAAAATTTTGAAGGAGAGTAAAAATGTGTTCTTCAACTGTATATAGCAGGGGTTCTCAACCTTTTTCTCCAAAGATTTTTTGAAGACCCAAACTGATTGTCTAGAAAAAATGCTTATTTTAAAGCTTTATTTATTAGCACAGACAAGTTCAAAGCTCCTGATTTCTTTACTTCAGTTATTCTTTACACCTGCAGAGTATTTGGGCCTTTTCTTCAGTAAAGGAACCTGACAGGACTACAAAAGATGGCGAAAACACTGCTGCTGCTTTGAATTAGACTGACTTCTATTCATATATTGATCTATATCCATTAAAATAAATAACCTTATCCTGACCCTAAATGTAAAATACAGTAAAAACCCTCTAAATCTGTCAAAACACATCGATCTGAAGGCAGTTTGGTTTGTAGCTGGACATTATTGGAGTTTGCTGACAGGAACCGTAAACAGCTGTTCACTACTGAAACACCACAGAGTCTCGCTATATCCTCCTGTACGGGTGCGCTTCTGTTGTAAAACACTTGCCGGGCATCAATTTCGACAACTATGCAGATATTTTAAAGTGTTCACACAAAGAGAGCATGCATCATTTGTGAATCAACAGACTTGTGCAACTCTGATACAGTACAAGTCGTAGATGTGAAGCACGCATGAGCTGGTTTATTATAACTCTAATCATCGTTACCTTTACATTTGCATGACTGTTTGCTTTATACAACTGAGAATGTAGTGCTAGTTGATGCACAGCAGTTGGAAATTTAAGCCACAGTTTGTCTGTAATTAACAGTGAGGCTGTTTTTGTACAGATTCCGAATGAGCCTGTTTAATCACAAAAAAAAACAGGAAATGCCATTACTATGATTACATTTGACTACATTTAATCTATGATTAAAATCATATTATTATAGTATAATACTTAAGGTAATTTTAATAATCTCGCGGTCCACCTGCAGGATAACTGAGGCCCACTTGTGGGCCGTGGCCCACCGGTTGAGAACCCCTGGGATATAGAAAGCAAGATGGAAAGTAGATTTGCAACTGTCTGCTCTCTAATTTTACATTCTTATCAGGTGATATTTAAAGATGACAGATTTTGTCAGTATACTTTATCTCCAGCTCCTTTTTTTGACAGCGCTGTTCTAAAATGATTAAACCTGATTATCTGCATGTAATGTTGAAGACTAAATTATTAGCCCTCCTGAATTTTTTGCCCCCTGTATTCATTCATTAAATCATTCATTTTATTTTCGGCTTAGTCCCTTCATTAATCTGTAGTCGCCACAGCGGAATGTAACACCAACTTATCCAGCATAAATTATTTGCATCGATTGCCCTTCAGGCTGCAACCCATCATTGGGAAACACCCATACACTCCCATTCGCCCCTGTATATTTTTTGCCAATTTCTGTTTAACGGAGAGAAGATTTTTTCAACACATTTCTAAATACAATAGTTTTAATAACTCATTTCTAACAACTGATTTCTTTTATCTTTGCCATGATTACAATACGTATTTTACTTGATAGTTTTAAGAATTCAGCTTAAAGTGCAATTTAAAGGCTTAGCTGAGTTAATTGGGCAAGTTAGGGTAAATATGGCTAATTGTATAACAGTGGTCTGTAGAAAATCAAGAAGAAATATTGCTTAAGAGGGCTAATAATGTTGACCTTAAAATAGCTTTAAAAAATTAAAAACTGCTTTTATTCTAGCCGAAATAAAAACAAACAAGACTTTCTCCAGAAGAATAAAATATTATAGGAAATACTGTGGAAATATTCTTTGCTCTGTTAAATATCATTTGGGAAATATATGAAAAAATTAATTCACATGGAGGGCGAATACTTTTAATTTTGCCTCAAATATTCAGTGCAGTTTAACACATCTCCTCACATCTCTCTCTGTCTCTGTGTGTGTTTTCCTCAGGTGTATGGGGTGTGTGTGTGGCCAGTGACTGTGGTTCGCTCGGCCTCCAGACTCGCTCAGTGTGGTGTGTCCATGCTGAAGGCTGGAGCACACATCAGTCCAACTGCTTTCCATCCGATCGCCCTGCGCATCAGAGAGTGTGTGTGAAGATGTGCGAGTGGCAAAAGGATCTGTTTGAGTGGCGCTTGTCTCCATGGGGCCCCTGCACTCCGAGTCCTCTCCTCCCAGCCAATCGATGCGTAACCGCTCAACGTGGAGTGCAGAGCCGCAATATGCAGTGTGTGAAGCGTAATAACAACTCCTCGGTGAGCCTACATGTGTGTGAAGCGTTTTCTTCAGCTCCAGAAGGAGAGCAGGCCTGTCTGTTACCTTGTCCGATGGATTGTGTCGTCTCCGCTTTCACCCACTGGTCCACTTGTAGCCGTACATGTGGGTCGGCTCTTCAACAGCGCACACGGGATGTCCTGGCCACACCCCTGTATGGAGGCATGGACTGCCCCAGTTTGACTCAGACACGCCCCTGTAGACATGAGCAAGGCCACCCCGCCCTCTGTCCTTCTGACCAACAGGAATACAGCTACAGTTTGTGGGCGGGGCCTTGGAGCCCTTGCAGAATTAAAGGGGTGGCACCTGTTGGGAAAACAACAGTGGATTTTAATTTGGGGAAAAGTACAGTCAGGACTTCCTATACAATAAAGCGGCACGCGGAAGGTTTTCATCGTCAAAATCATTACGATGAAAAAGGCTACAAAGTGTCCTGGGAGATCATCATTGGGTACCAGACTAGGCAGCTTCGCTGTTTGAGGAGCGACGGGAAGAACGCTATGCTGAGGTGGGCAGTTATTTTGTCAATAAATGAGTTAATAGACTTTTATAAAGTTGTTCAAGTCATTAAAATCAATCATTTTTATTTTATTTCATAAATTGTTATTATTATTTTACCATATATATTTACAGAACAGTTCTGTCTGGTCCTTGAATCTGATTGGCTGATAGCCATGAGATATTAAAGTAATAATATCAGAATTTTTACAGCCTCCTCACCCTTGCGTATTACTCCGCCCACACAAGTGGCAAGCAGAAGACTACAGTTTGACAAATATTGCAGCTGTATTAAAACAATATACTTTTGAGACACTTTAAGTTGATAATGTAGTTGTTTAGATTGCAAATATGCAGTTTATTTATAAGGATAGGGCCTATTTTAAATATTTATAATTTTAGAGATTTAACATATTGGTGACCAGCCTGTCATACTAAGCAGAGCAAAGACGGTTGACGTTCCGCCACAAGATGGCAACGAAGACTGCATAATAAGTCTTTAGGGGGGAAAAACAGTACTTTTTTCAGCATATGTTTCAGACTACCGCTGAACAAATCATTTCAGAACAGGGGAGTGACAAGTCAATCTACTCTCTTTTTTGTATGTTGTAGTGCTCTTTTTTATTATGATGTCCCGATCAGGATGTCCCATTTTTTTTGTTTTTTTTTGTTTTTTTTGCCCTCACGTCCGAGTCATTCTATTTTTAGTATCACCTGATACCAAAACTCCATCCGATACTTCTTTCATGCATAAAAAATAATAAAGAAAATTAAAGAATAATTTTTTTATTTAATTCTTATTTTAACATTCAACTGCTCTGTTAACAAACAGAGCACTTCTGTGAGGTAGCTTAAACAATCAAGTAATAAATAACAGATACATTTTTCACTTTTGGACTTTAGTTTAACAGTAAATATAAAAAATATATAATATAAAAACTAATAGCTCCTCACCTTAAAATACCCGGCAGGCAATGCCAAGTTTACATATCTCACAGTTTGCTATGGCAATGTTGTCGTCATGTAAAGCTGGTATTTGAATTATTCTATTGTACGATGTACAAGAAGCAAAAAAAAAAAAAATGTAAATTAAAAATATTTCTTACTTTATAATAATATAAATATAAATAAATAACTTTAAATCAGAATGTATGTATGTATGTATGTATGTATGTATGTATGTATGTATGTATGTATGTATGTATGTATGTATGGATGGATGGATGGATGGATGGATGTATGCATGTATGTATATATGTATGTATATATGTATGTATGTTTGTGAGTTTGTGTGTATAAACAGAAACCATATTTGCAGTATTGAATTAATCCTAGACCTAAAATATTGATTCTAGTTTAAATTATTACACATGAAAAAAGACTGTGAAGTGATGGAACAGACATGAAACTAACACAGCTATACTGTATGCAGTAACTGGCCAACTAAATGGCTTAGCATTTCACAGAACGCCAACCCACAGATTGCTGCAATTAATAGGAATAAAAAGAGTTGAGAAACAAAAGCTTTTGAAGATGTTTTTGAAGACTGTTGTAGATGTAGCCAGAACGGATTGCGGCCAAATAGAGTTGAAATAAATACTCATTACTGATCAGACCATTAATAAATAATACAGCACTATTAGCACACAGTTATGCAACAATGTTATGCAATAAATATAGTTTAGTTTTTTTAATGCCTCCTAACAGTGAGGACATTAGAGTCTGCTTTATGAATCACTGCTATCCTCTCAGTGCAGATGGATAGCCTTGTGCCATATGATGCTGTTTACATTAGAGAACATGATGTTATTTATATGCGGGACTGGTTACATTGTCAAATAACAGAATCTAAATTTTACCTTCTGTTGTGGGTCATACGGAAAAGATAGCCTTTTCTTTTTTCCTGCTCCTGGAAGATCCCAAGCCTGCTGGTTTTTATTCATTTTTTATTAGATTTTAATGGAAATAGTGCTTGTTGCACCTAGAAAACTACAATAATAAGCTCCAGAGAGAGCAGCGTGAACATAAAAAATGAAGAAACCGTTCTGAAAATAACCAAACACACCATAGAACAGCTGAAATCTAGTGAGACGATGAGTTATGCTTTTTGATTCGCTTCAGAAATTTTCAAGCTCTTTGTATTTATATTTTATGTAACTATAGTTCATAACATCCACCGAGAGCCATTAGAATAGAATCTATAGACAACATATCTGGTAGAAAAAGAAACAAGATAGTGAACTGACTACAAAATATTTGATGTGAAATATGTTTTATGCTATCATACGCATCAAACGCTTATGATAGCATGTAAAGATTTAATGAAAAGTGTGTGTACATTTAAATTTAAATATCCCACTGGCATTTAATTTTTATTACCCAGTGAAATGTTAAGTGATTCATATTTGCACACAAAATCTAATTATGTTGGCTTAGAAAGACAACGTAGTGATCTACTAGTATTCTTCTGGGATTAAAAACACATCTCCTCCTAAAGCTTTCAAGCTACAACCACCAAATTTGGCTGAGAATCTCAGGCTATTATGGCTATTTAATTAAATCAACTTTTTAAGACAATCAAATAAGTAAAAACAACAGACTTTCATTGAAGATGTAAAAATGTTTATACATTAAATCATACCTTTTTCTCTCTAGCTATCAGGCATTACAAAAACTAGCCTAGAACATGCTAACATCTTGTACACTGTAGGTACATGGTAATGCATGCTACTAAACAAGCTAATAATGTGTCAAATAATGTTTATTATGTTTTATCAATCTGCTAATCATGCTAAAAACATGCTAACAATGTTATCTTCATGCTACCGAAAGTTTACACTAACAATATGCTAGCTGTGGCAGACATGAAAACGCTATGTCAGTTCGTTCTGTCAGTTTATAGCCATGCTAACAACATGTTTATTTATGTGAGAAACATAAAAGGAACATGTTAATTGTTACTAACTAATTGCTTATTTGTGCTAATGATGTGTGAACTGTGCTAGAAACATAGTAGCTATTAGCAAAAAAATAATTCTAGCAAATTGTTAATTTATGCTAATAATATGGCAACCTTTTTAAAAACAAACTGAGAGCCATCAGAATTACTGGATTACTGAATTCACTTATGATAGCATGTAAAGATTTAATGAAAATGTGCGTGTACATTTAAATTTAAATATCCCACTTAATTGCATTAAATTTTTATTACTAAGTGAAATGTTAAGTGATTCACATTTGCTCATATAATCTGATTATGTTGGTGATCTACTAGTCTTCGTCTGGGATTAAAAACGTGTCTGCTTCTAAGGCTTTCAAGCTACAACCAGCAAATTTGGTGGGAATTTGGAAAAATTCAGGCTACTATTGGTATTTATACAATATTTTTTCAAACATTTTAAGACAATCAAATCAAAGAAAAAATAACAGACTTGCATTGAAGGTGTAAAAACTCTTAAACATTAAACCGTACCTTTATCTCTCTGTCTAGCTATCTGTCATTACGAAAACCAGCCTATGCTAACATCTTGTTTAATCACGGTAGTTTCATGGTAAACATTAACAATGAGTTAAATGCTACCAAACAAGCTAATAGTGTGTTCAAACATGTAAAGTTTTAAACACATGTTAGTAATATGTTTTGTTATTTTTGTGGTAACCATGCTAGAAACGTACCAACAATGTAATCTTCATGCTACCAACAGTTTACACCAACAATATGCTAGCTGTGGTAGAAACATGAAAATACTATGTCAGGTCACTTTAGTTTCATAGTTATGCTAACAACATGTTTTTTTCATGTTAACTGTTACTAACAAATTGCTAATTCATGCTAATGATGTGTGAACTGTGCTAGAAACGTTTAGCAAAAAGTGAATTCATTTTAGCAAAATATTAATTTATGCTAACAATATGGTAACCTTTGTACAAGCTATCAACATAATCTTCCTAACAAGCTAATTCAGTTATTAAAACATGCACTGTAAATGAACAAACATGTTAATTACAAGTTAGCAACATGTTATGAGAAAACTAAAATTTAGAACAGTAGAAAAACTGTGGTAAAGCTAAAAACAGGCTGAAATGTCTTTTTTTCAGTTTTAGGCTAGACTCTGTCAAGCCAACATCATAGATTGTGTCTTAAACTTTTGACTTTCTAACTTGTATCTTTTTAATCATTAATCATTTTAATCATTCATTTTTTTACAACTAATATTTATCAAATGCCAATTCAGTGGATAAACAAGCATGCTTTACAATCAGTCTTTTGTTGTTTATGCTGTGCTGCAAACATTAAGATTGTTACCAACAATACAATGCTAATGCCAGTCTTTATTCGAACCGCTTGTTTATGCACGGTATAATGAATTACCATAAATTATTTTTTTTTGTCTGCAGATTACAAGATTTCCCTGGTGTTTTGCAAACTTTTTTTTTTTTTTTGCATTTGTATTAAGCCAGACTAAACTTCTGAATAAATTGAACACCCACAGACCACCCCATCCCTCTCTCTCTCAGGATTTCATAGTTTGCTTTAGCTAGTTTTGTATGCCAATATATTCAGTGAGAATCAGCAGCAACGTTAAAGCCTTGGAGAGTTCAAGAGACAGCTTGAAAAATGTTCTGTTTATGTTGCTACCTTTTTTGTTATGGTAGCCAGAGGCTAAATGCATGCCAACAGCTTCAGAGCAGGCAGATGAAAACTTCTTTTTGTTGGCAAAAAAAAAAAAAAAAAAAAACATAAAAAGCTTTAAAAACTAAGTAAACTGTTTTTATAATTGTAATCTGTTGACCGTAATTCATTTAATATATATTATATAATAACATATTAATGTATGTATGTATGTATGTATGTATGTATGTATGTATGTATGCATGTATGTACTGTATGTATGTGTGTGTGTATATATATGCACTGTATTTATATGTATGTATGTATGTATGTATGTATGTATATATGCATGTATGTACTGTATGTATGTGTGTGTGTGTGTGTGTGTGTGTGTGTGT